AAATTGGTTTGTTTTCCCTTTGTTGAAGCTTATGAACATGAAAAAGAATAGTTTTCTTCAGAGAAAAAAAAGTACTCTTTTTCTCTTAAAAAAATCGGACTTATAGCCCATCAATAAATCCATTTTCATTTTCCTTTTCAGTTATTCAAATTTACTGATGGACTCAAAATCTTGTAAAAGGCTGGAACTTCTTTCTTTACTTTCTATGTGATTTTAATCCCGGGGATTACAAATTTTACAAGTGCAATAATCTCAGAGATATGGCAGGTCCATAACTACATTCCACCCCTCCCCACATCGCCAGTTGTTATGAACTGAAAAGAATTGGGCTTTATCTGACCCCAGAAGTTTCTGCTCTGGTGCAACCATATCTCTACATGGATTTCAGACACAAACAAAAAAAAGAAAAAAAAAAAGGAGACTGAAAAACGCACAGAATTCGGCTTATGCTCAACAGTCCAATGAGTGAAAGGCCACAAGGTCATATAAAGATAATTTCTTATGAATTTTTAATTTTGGTGACAACCTATCTTCAGCTGTGCTGAAGAGATTGACTTTTAAGTGTTGGCATTGGAACCCAGAAACGTGTACCAAAAACAATTGGAACCCTGAAATGCATCATTTCCTTCTTCGATCTTGGAAAATGGATATCTTTTTACCATAAACAAACTCACACTTCAATAACAACCCACCTTACATTATTACTAGCTAGAACTTAACTACAAATTTCTATTTTGTAGAAAATATCCCATACCTAACTAGAACAAGAAGTCAAGAACAGAGAACAGAGAACAGAGTTGCCCTGATCAGCTTCTGAGTACCAAAATCACATGTACTACAAAAACTTAGACATTATCATACACAACAAGACTGCTCTACATATAGAATATCATGGTGCCTTTAATTTTTCCAGAATGCCTTCACGTTTGTCATGATGTCTTGATCCTTCACAGGAACAAGAGGCTTGGGATCTCCTTTAAGTTTGTCGTTTGGATGGTATAAGATGAAACTATGTCTGGTATCAAAATCCTTATCAAATCTGACCATTTTCTTCTGAGGACCATCTTGGTCAGTAGAAGCTCCTTGTAGATTAAACAGTTGCTTCATTTCTTCCTGCATGGGTTCTCCCATCATACTTTCCCAATACTCCCTAGGTCCATTTCTTGCATGACTGACCTCCAAGAGCTTTAAAAACCATTAAAAGCATATATCATTAGAACCAAAATAAGGAATTAAAACTAGGATTTCATAGGGAAATTGAAGAAAAGCTTACCAAGAGGACAGAGGAGAGGATGATGAAGATAGCAATTAGAGCCTTCATGTTCTAATATGCTTGCTACCTGTAGACGCTAATGTTGACACCCCTCTGCAGATTACCCGTGGATAGCACGTCGGTGCCTACTTGGGATGTCACCCTTACTGAAATAAAAATTGCTTTTAGTTGTACTTTGTGTGTGGCAGGATCCCCAACCTCTTGGTACTCATTTATATAGGCCACAATACATATTATTTTATTTAGAAACATAAAATTTGGCATGATCTCACACAGTGCGTGTTGTGCTCCTGATCAGGATTCTTCTGACCATTAGCCACCATCCACACATTGGTTCTTTTCTTCATTGCTAAGAAAATACGGCACCCATGCACTGGCCTTGGACTGAATAACATCCAACCTGAACTTTTTTTTGTACCAAAAGAAAATATGGAAAAGGCTTTGACTTCCCTTAAGAAAACAATACAAATGGGTCTCTAAACCATTGGCTCAACTCATCCATTCATCACTGAATCAAGATGATGGCCAAAATAAAAATAAAAATTATATACTCAATCAAGATCCTGTTGAAAGTCAGAAGTCATTAGGTATCCTTCTGTTGAGAATCAACCCTAAATTATTTGATTTTGACTTTTGTTATCTTGAATACAGTATGCGAATTCATTTCAAAGAATCAAACCAGCCATATAAGCAAATACTAAAAATTTTCATATTTATGAATAAGATGAACAACAACGATCTATACAATTGGTTAATGGAGGACAGATGTACATGACAACAAAAGATTTTAAAATTTGCAATAAGAAAATGGGAAATTCATGGGTTGATGCTAGAGTCATGCTTACATGTTACATGATAGTTGATCTTCGATCTTATAGTTATTAATTGGAAGTTGGCGTCTTAGATATAATTAATCATAATTTTGCTGAAAATCATTCAACTTATCCGGGGAGAAGATTTTTGAAAATCAATCCTAGCTAATTTCATTAGGAAAGTTGTATGATATAACCATATATGGTCAATTTCATCTGTATTATCAATTAAAATCTTAATTTCTTTTTTGGGTGAAACAGCTTTTGACTGTGTACATACATCATCATCGCAAAGAAAGACTAAAGGGATTAGTAATTATAACTACCTATGTGGGGGTGGAGGAAACTGTGCATGATCACAGATGGAGAAAGACAATATAATTTGGAAGGTAATGTAGATGAAACCCTAGGTGGGCTTAATTTGGTTCTATCCTCAGCATATAAAGTCAACTTCAAATGCAAATATATCTAACAAAGTAGATTAGGTAGGTGCATACTTTTTTGTTTTCTTTTGGTGCATGGACAATATCCAAGATCTCTATTAATGGGTTTTCATCAAACCTTCCCCTTTTTTTATTTTATATTTTAAAAAGGGCTAAAAGTCAACTTCATGCATAAAAGGCTCCCCTAATTTGATCAAACATTTCACAAAAGAAAAAAGCTAATTCACTTGAGATCCATAATTGAGGTGCAAATCTCTTGCATGCCAACATCAACCATGATAGAATAATGTACCATTAATTATCATTATTGGTTTGAATATCAACCAAAAGGGTACCTAAATTTAATAGCTGAGGTCTTCTGGTGGAGGTAGAACCGTCGAAGTAGAACTCATTGCATGGTGATCCAATCTCTTCTTTAAAATTCAGCGGGCTATTTCACTTACATCAATGCATGGGGCACCTTGTTTTTAGGCATCAAATTTATTAATTGAATGGAGAATGACCAAAGGTTTTCACATTTTATATATATGGTTCTGGACCTTTTGTTTAGATAGTACTGACACATATAGGTAACAGATACAACAAAAATGGACTACAAGTGTGCAATACACACACACAGACAAAAAAAAAAAAAGGGTGGAAACAAGAACTGAAGCATAAAAGTTAGATTACCTATATTGATGATGTATTGCAACCATAAAACACAAAAGAAGCAAATATGATTGTGTAAGAAGATAAAGGAAAATGTCCTCAGGAAAAGAGCACTAGCTGGTTCAAGATAAACTGGCATGCCACCACCACTGAAAGTGAAACTTGAATCAATTAAATTTCCTAGATATAGAATCTTGTACAAAGTTTATATCTTCAATCATTTCATAGAAGAAGTTAAAAAAGACTGCAGAAGCTAACAGTACGCTCGCAGTCAACTCTCTTTTTCTACCTCCATTTTCCTACCCCACTACGGCCCACAATCCTCACCTTTTCTTTATTCAACTTTAAATGGTTAGCTAATATCCCACCTATAATGGAAAATCCAATAATATGAAATGTTTAAAAAATGAAAAAATGAAGCTGGGTTTCATCTATATTCTCTGCTTTTTAACATTCTTTGCATTTGATGCAATGTGTATATTTTAAAATGTGGTTAAGTTAAAACCTACTACGTTCATGAATCATTATACTTCTGTTTAATACTGAAGGGAGATTTCATTTTTTAATTCATAGAGTGTTGTTTATTACTAAGCACAAAGCCTAACAGAGAAACACACAACATCTATGCATTGAATTGAATTACTATAAGATAAGCCATCAATGATTTTCAGTTTCAATCTATCTGTTGCTGCTATCAATTGACACTTGAAATGAAATATCTACAATATCTTAATGAGTAAAGAACTAAAGACGAAAAATCACAAGGTGAAAAAGAGAATTTTTCTTCATCTTAAGGTCTTAATCATATACTAGTCACTCCCTTTATTAATTTTCAATCCACACTCTCCACTTGGCCTCATTTTTCTCTGTGTACCAAAACATTTCTCCCTTTATTAATCTAACCACTTTTCAATAAGTTTAGTAGACAAATGTTTCCTTACTCCAGAATCAAGAAAAACAGAGAGATGGGTACTAACCTTTCCTCTTGGAACATCATCCTTTCCTTCCTTCTCCTTCAAATGGTAATGTTCTATATATACTTCCTGCAACTTTTCTGATGTTTTTTTTGCGAATTGCTTGGATTCAACTCTGGTTTGAAACTTCTTTTTTCTTGATTTTGATAGCAGTGCGCACAAGAGATTGAAGGTCGTAGCCTTAAATATGATCCCCAGCAGCTGCTACAGCCCACCAGTACTGCTACAGATTCTAGTCACCCATCATCCCACATGGAACACATGGACCCTTCCATGAATATTTTCTTTAAGGTGGATGACCTTAAGGCTGGCAAAACTATGTCAATCTGGTTCTCCAGCAAAGACAACACTTCTGCCTCTCCTCCTCTCCTCTCCAGGGAAGAAGCAGAATCAATTCCTTTCTCCTCAAAACAACTTCCTTATCTTCTTGACCTCTTCTCCTTCCGCAAAGACTCCCCACAGGCCAAAGCAATGGAATATACACTCGGACAATGTGAACACAAACCCATGAAAGGTGAAACCAAGTCCTGTCCTACTTCCCTGGAATCCATGCTTGATTTTGCCCAAACTGTCTTTGGCTCTGATGCCCATTTCAAGGTTTTAACCACAAATTTCAACGATCAGCCCATTGTTCCATTACAAAACTATACAATTTCCAAGGAACCTGAAGTGATCCGTGCTCCAAAAATCATAGGATGTCACAGGATGCCTTATCCGTATTCAGTGTTCTTCTGCCATACCCAGGAGAGTGACAACAGGCTTTTCGTGCTTTCCCTGGTGGGAGACAATGGAGACAGAGTCAAAGCCCCTGGAATTTGCCACATGGACACTTCTCAGTGGGATCCTGATCACATCGCCTTCCAATTGATCAGAGTTAAACCGAGAGAATCCCCTGTCTGTCATTTCTTCCCTCAAGACAATCTAGTTTGGCTGCCTCTGCACTGAATATTTTGTGCGTCTGTAATAGCAAAAGTTCCAAGCTTTCAATCTTGTTCAACTGTTTGGACTCCGATGATATAAGGTTACCTTAAGAATGTGAAAAAATCAATGATATTTGTCTGTGTGTGTTCAATCCTTACAGGGAATCAACAATCCCGTTGGAGTTATTGGGTTCCTCCCGAAATTTTGAAGAGCTGCTTCCTCTTTCTGATTGTTGCCATAAAACCCATATAGAAAACATCAATCTCGGAACAGATTTTGAACAAATATTAACAAACTAAAAGAGAAAACCGATTATGAATCGCCCCTGTTCAAATTATTTGCTAAAGGTTTTAACTTTCGAGCAAAGATCAAAGCTTTGAATCTCAGAGCATACACCCAGAAAAAAGCAGTGATTATACACATGGAGGACGCTTACCATGAGAAGAAAAAATGGAAGAGGCTATTATCCTCTATCTCTTTGCTCCTTCCCGTCCTTTTTGGTGTGGGTTACTATTTTATAAGGGTTTTTTTATTCCCAAGACGTTTTTGACCCTGAGAAAACTAAAAGGGCTCAATTGCTAATAGTAAAAAAGTTTGAATACTTTTCTAGAAGATTTTCCGAAACTGTTTAGCCATAACCGACTTAAAAAACCGAACCGACAGTTAAGGTGCATAAGGGTTTCCCGCTTCTGTTCTTTTTCTCTCTCCTCCGTTCTCTAACGTTTCTCTCTCTTCGCCGACTCTGTACACTCTCTGCAAGAAACCCTCTCTTCGGAATAAATTTTGTCTTTTTACGGTATAGTTACAATGATGACCGGAAATTTAGTCGGAAAGACCTTGGAATAGGCCGCCGGCGCGCCGGCAGCTTGGCGCGCTACATGAGTTTGGAGGTTTATCTGAAGGGTTTTGCCAGCAATGTGAAGCTCAATTGGAGGAACGGATCCGTAGTTTTATATTCAACAGTAAGATGCCGACTTTCCCTTATTTTATTTTGAATTCTCGTTTCAATTTTCATTTTCCTCCTTTCCAAACAAAAAAATAATAATAATCTTTTCGTTTCTCCATGGAAAAGGGATTGAAGAAATTTCAATGCCTTTTGAGAATCTTGGGAAAATTGGATTTAGAATTGATTATATTTGCTTGTTGAGAATCTTGAGGAAATAAGATTTTTATTTCTGCTTACGTTAAGGAATTATTTTCTGGTTTTTTTTTTTTATTCAGGTTTTTTTTTATTCAAGTTTTTTTTTTTTTCCTTTTTTTTTTATTGTATTCTTCAATGCAATTTATGGTCAAGAAACCTGTTTCTCTTTGTTTTTTTTAAGGTTACAATGTCTGTTTAAGGACTCGAGCTTCATATATATCAGGGTTTTCAATACTGAGGAGCAGAAGAAAATTGTGGAATGTATCTATGATCTACAGAGAATGGGTTAGATGGGGCAGCTTAGAGGTATATACTTGTAAATGTTAAGCACCATCCAGGAAAGCTGCTGGCAATGGCTCTTTTAGTACATTGACTTCAGAATAAATTGTGGTTGGATTATCCAATGACATTGTAGGGACATTGTCAATTTAGAGACTTTAACTTTCAAAGTTGCGTTAACATTGAATTGCTTGAGATGGTTTGTGATTATCTAATATGAACTCGTTCTGTTTAATGTCTACAGAGCGCACATATTCTGAACCTAGAAAATGGATGCGTAGGGGGTGTGTCACAATGCAATTTGGTTGTTACAATTATGCAGTGGTAATTTTCATCTCCTGTTCTGCCTTTCACCCTTACCTCTTTGGGCTGTTACTGATTATACTGATTTCAGGTTTTACAACTTTGAAGACAAGAACAGAAACTCTCCAGGTATAATTAGAGATTAAGAAGTGGATCCCTTACCTCCATTGTTCAAGCAAATGATCCAAGAGGATGGTGAGGTGGGATGTTCATGCCTCCAACATGCGTTCCTAACAGCTGTGGATACATACAATGGAAGGAGACTGCATCCCTCCTCACATCGACCACAGGACTTTGATCGACCAGCTTTTTGCTTCTGGACTCAGTGCAATATACTTTTTGGTTCAAATTTGAAGATTGTAAGTCCCGGGGAGTTCTCAGGACCTGTTTCAATACCTTTGCCTGATGTTTTCTGAACTCCTTGCTGCTAGTTGGATTATTGATTTTGCATAATTAGTTACATATTCTAACTCAATACTGCTTAATACAGATCAGTACTAGTCTTGAAGGGTAATGGGGCTGATGCTGCTGCCAAGTACTGTGTTCCAGCTGTTCCAGCAAAAGGGATATCTGTTATTCTCCGGAAAATGGACAACAGAAAGCTCCCTCACAGAGGTTTTCACCTGATCCAGATTTGTCCAGAATTAAGCCAATAGTCATATCTCCCTTGAAAAAGTTCCCATCTACATGGAACCAGAGCCAGAGGCCTGTGTTATGTAGTCTTCATTTCTCAAATCCAGAGTCCAACATATTCCGCATCAAAATGCTAAACGTGGCAAGGACAAACCCCAAGACCGCGGGGACAACAAACAACAGCGAGTCTCTAGCAGCTTCTTTCTCAGTATGCCAGATGATTTTCCTAACATCAGATTTCTGGTGCATAATGAAGTAAACAAGAGCAAGATCAAGGCAATAAAGTTTATCAGTTGTTTGCTAATAGAGAATGATGTTTTGTGGTTCACTTATTATTATAGTCCTTGGATAATTGAGACTTCTGAGATCTTAATTAATAATTATTCAAAGTCGTATATTTTATAATTTAGTAAGGTTGAATAATAAAATACTATTTTTGTTGTTAATAGCTTTAATGAATACATAGTAATATACTAGTTTGGACCGATATATACTATTATTTTATATTTTTTAAACTATATATTTGTGTAGAAGGAAAGAGAGAAGAGAGGAGTTATATTGTTTCATTTTTATCCTTTTATTTAGATAAATAAATAAATTAAAAGATAAAATAAAACAAAAAACTTTCTTCTCTCCTCTCTCTTTCAATATTTTTATAACTAAATGAAGAAAAATTTTCTCATTCCATTCCTTAATCCAAGTTTATGGTAAGAGATTTTTGTATTATGGTATAAATTGGATATTAAAAGTATAATTTATCATATAAATTAATTAAAATACTCTTATGCTATGTTTAGATAGAAGGGAATGAAGAGAAGAAAATATTTTTTTTTAACTAATCAAATTACAATATTTAATAAATGTTATAACTTAATTAGTTAAAATACTCTCCCATCTCTTCTATTTTCCTTATCTAAATATATTAAAGAAATAGTATAAAAAATATTTTTAGTTAAAACATTTTGATAAATTTATAAAATAAATTATATTTTTAATATATAATCTGTCTTATAAAACACTTCTTTATTTTCTTAAAGCTAATATATTCATTTTCAAAATTTTAGATTGATGTAATAAACAATGATTTTTCAAAATGAGATAACCTGATTCTTAGCCAAACATTATCTCCTCGGAAAAGAAGAATAATTTGAAGAATAAAGTAATCTTTTTCGTTTTTTTCTTAATTTTTTACTAGGAAAAAATAGATTATTTGATTCTCCTTAAGATGCTATCCTTCACTCTCAAGCATGGCATATTCATATATACTTTCCGTATGATGATAGTCTTAATTTATTGACTTTTTTAACTTTTAAAATAATAAATAAATATTAATTAAAATTATCTTTTTTATATAATTTTTATTAGTAATTTCACTCAATAAAAAAATCTTTTTCAATTGAAAATTGTAATATTTAAATTTTTAATTAAAGTATAATCTAAATCCATATTTAAAACTAAAGTTTATAAATTTATGGATATTAATTCAACCACGTTCTTATTGTTACACTATACTCATTGTTATTGTTAAATTTGGCCTTCCCCCCTTACTTCTTAAGTCAACTTCATTTGCACCTTTTTTTCTTTTGTTGGCAATTAGTTTGCATATGATGTTAAATTATTTGCAAACTTTTTCTTAAGTTGGACAATCAAAATATTTTTGAGTTAGTTTTCACCTTTTTGTAAATTAAATTTCTTAAAGTGATCTTAAAAATATACTTATATATTAACTTGAAATATTTAAAAAGATTAATTTTGTTGAGTGGAGACCCAATACTTCAAGTTAAATTATTTGGAATTAAAAAACATGGATCAATAACACTAACATAGTCCTAGCTGCTGGTGCCAATTGCTTTTATAATTTTTAGAAATTGTTTGGTGTAATAATTTAAAATTTACAATTAATAATTTTATATAATACAATGAATAACACTATTTAAATTAATAATAATAATTAATTATCAAATTATACAAGATCATTAATTATTAATTTTAAATTAATGTACAAAACAAGCTCACGAAATTAATGAAAAAAAAAAAGGTGTGCGAAAGGAACTTCGTGCATGGGCAGATGGGCCACTCTATAGACTATAGGTGCCAAAGAAAGGAAAGATCAGATTCAGATGCCTAACAACATGAAAAGATTAAAAATTTAATGGAAAATTAGAGAAAATATTGGGTTTTAAAGGGGATAGAGATAGGAAGGAGGTGGAGTGTCAATTCGAGCACAAGGGTTTGTGGGGAATGGCGGTCTGCTAAAAATTTGACAAATTTTCTCTTGTTTTTTGTATTTCCCTCTTTCCCATGATTAATACAGACTTGGGTCGTGGCTATTTTCATTGGGTATTTTTCCTCCAATCTCACAGTTCATGAAAGGGATTGTCTTTGAGCTGCGCTTGAAGGAGGTCTTGAGTTTCTGATCTTTTACTCAGGTGAGTTTTTGTAAAAACACCTTTTTATTGTCTATTTTCCTTGATTAATATGATCAAAGGCAGCATCTTCTTTTGCCTTATCAATTCTCTATGTAAGTTCCAATTTTGAGTTTGCTGAATTTCCATAAGCTGCCTTTTTTCTTTTTTCTTTTTCTTAAAAAAAAAAATATATTAATGAATTTGTTGTGTTCTGTTGGGAGGAAAGATGGAATAACATCATGAGCCTCTGTTTGGGTTCTGATTATTAAGAGAATCTTATAGTAAGTTGTGG